GTGGGGCGACACGGGGAGGTGCGCGGCCACGACCGAGCTCGCCTGGCCATGACGCAGACCGAGGCAGAGCTCGGCATGGCGACCACACGTGGCCGCGCTAGGGGAGGCGGCGTGCCGGACCCGGCCGGGAAAGATGGCCGGCCACGGTGGGGCGCGGACGGACCGGCTGGCGAGGCGGGCCCCTCGGCACCGATGGACAAGGCGCGCACCCGGCTGGGCGGTGCCGTGGAGGCGGAGCCCCACGGTGGTAGCAGTAGCAGGGCGGGTCGGGGCGGACGACGGTGGCCGTGGCCACTGTGGTGGAGCGGCGCGGGTCCACGCAGCTCGAGAGGGACGGCGCCGTGGAGCAGCAGGCCTAGCGCGTGACCACGGCGGTTGCTCAGCTTGGCAGAGGCAGACAGAACAAGCAAAGCAGGCAACAGAGACAAGCAAGGTAGGCAATAGAGGCAGAGACCGAGAGAGGGAGAGAGAACAGAGGCGAGGATAGCAGCTCGGTCACGGCGTGCACAAGAAGGAGCGCGGGAAGTGAGAGCAGTGGGGCACGGGCACGACAGAGCAATAGCACGGCAAGGACGGTGCTGCAGGTGCTCCTCTAGAAATAACGTGCATAGACGGGACGACTCGAACTTGGCGGGACGCGAAGGCAGCCAGCTCCTCTGTGGTTAGGTGGGTCGTGCGGTGGGCGGAGCACCACGTCGGCCAGACGGCTGGCAGGCAGTGCACGCGGCGACCGCAGGCCGAGCCCTTCGACGGTGAGTAGTGATGCGCATGAATTTAAAAGCTAAACAAGTGTTGCGATTGATCGCGATTGAGGCCCAAGCAAGTCCTCCAATCTGAAGTCCACACTACCGTCTATCAAACAATAGAACCAAAACATTAGGACATTATTTAACTATTTTTGTATTTTATAAATCGCCAAAAAGTGTACTTTCAACACAACTTCAAATTTTTGCTGATTCAACGAAAATAGCTAATTTTAATTTCCAATTCGATTTTTGAGCTATCAAAAATACCATGGAACAACATCAATTCACCAAATCAACAGTTGTATTTTTAACTACTAACTCGCACTTCAAATTTTTATTTTAGTTTTAATTACAAGTTATATTTTATTTTGTTTATAATAATTGTTTTCATGCTCAATCCAACAGAATAAGCCATTCGCAATTTATTCGACTTTTTTCAAAACAAGCCCTAAACAACTTTTGTCCGTAAGATTATTTAAAAATTGCAAAGCACCGCGACAAGTTGACTAGCGACACTTATTTGCTCGTTTTATTTACGAAAGCGAGTCACACAAGATTCGTTTATAATTCCACGTGTGCTTCAAACTTTTAAACTCGAAAAATTATTTTGCTAATTACTCTTAAGCATTAACCTAGGTGCTAAGCAAGCTCGTAACACCAGAGGTGTTACATCGGTCGGCGGGGCAGTCTGGGCCACCTGTACGCCCGCTATGGCGGTCCTCGTCACGCCGCTGGAGCACGTGGCTGGGCGCAATCATGGCGCTTCCGCTCGTGGCTGCATGCGCCGCGGGGTGGGGCTAGCATCGTCACGTCCACGCCTTCACTGCCACGTCAAGCCCCCTATAGTGGCCGGCTGGATCCGGTCCCCTAGGGCCGGGTGTAGCTTTAGGGGCGCCCTGCCCTCCACCTCGACAACGGCGGCCGACGGTTCCATTCGGGCGGCCAGAGGCAGCGTCGGTGATAGCGGCGGTCGGATCTGGCTAGCTGGCGGCGCCGGAGCAGGCGCGCTGCGGCCAGCTGTGCGCTGGCATGGCGATCGGCAGCTGCCTGCGGCCGGTTCTTCTCGCCGGGGCCGTTTGGCTGCGGTCGGGCAGGGTTCCTACGGCCGGTTGCTAGCTGCCCTAGCCATGCTTTGACGGCTGGGGCCTACGGCCTCCTAGGTCGCTGGCCAGAACCGTTGGTGCTGGAGCTGCCCCTGCCTTCGTGATATGTTACTGTGCCGAGTCGGCCCGCTGCTTTGCTAGGATCACCCCAGCGGCTGTGTTCGATCAAGCTCTTAGGTGAAAACTTTTCCCGGCTTCTTGCTTCAGGCCTGCGACGGTGGTACAGTCTGTGCCATCCAACTTCTTGAAGGCGTTCGTCGAAAGATGTGTTTGTAATGCGGGTCGTAGGGGCGGTCCTAGGACGAAAGTCCTTGTTGTGCTCTCTATTCAACGTTGTTGATGTCTGAGGATGTTATTCTCTTCTTGGAGGCTTCGTTGGAGCACTTCTGCCGCCGTCCTGTTCCTCTCGCCGGAGCCGCTCCTAGCTGTGCTGTGCCTGCATGTGCTTTAGCTTTGTCTTCACGTTGGTCTGTCCACCTTGGATGTTGGTGTTGTTGCAGTCGTCTCGACGGATGCTTTGCTGTCGTTGGTCATCTTCTTCGTAGCGGCTACCTGGCCGCTTGCCGATAATCGACGGATGCTTTGCCGTCGTTACTGCCTAGGCGGATGCTTTGCCATCATAGTCGCTACCAGCCCACGGATGCTTTGTCGTGTTGTGCTCACGGATTTTGCCGCGTTCTTTCCGGTGGATGCTTTGCCACCGAGGCTTCATCTCCCTTGTTGGCAGCCTTCGCGTCGTTATCTTTAGCTGCTCCAACTAGCTAGGTTGTGGTGGAGGGCCCTTCCCCTGCCACACTTCTTGCTTTCACTCGTGTTTTTCGTTCTAAACCACTCGCTCTGTGGTTTTTTATCCTGCGCTATGGGTTCTCCCATAGTCGCGTCGTGTATGCCGTTCCTTCGGCACTCTTGCTTCTTCTTAATGAAATTCACGTGAATGCGTGTTCCCGAAAAAAAAGAACAAATGCCAATGTTTATTATGGCATGAACACTGGCATTTCCGATCAGCAATTTTGTTACAAAACGATGCATGTGTGTTGGATCTTGTTGTAACTTTCTCATGGCTGCAAACCAAACAAGTACTGTTGGCTTAGGGCAAAATGCACGTCCGTAGAGCTGCCTACAATATCAACGTTCAAATATCTTACTTGTACAAAACTGGAAGGCATTGGATCGGAGTTCCGTATTGAATAATACTCCCTACACATAAAAAATACAACTTTTACTTTTTGAGAAATCAAATAATTTGATTTTAAGTAAATCTGTACAAAGAAGTCACTATCGTTTATGATATCAAATAAATATCATTAAAATAATCATAAATATATTTTTACTCTAAATTTATTTAGAGATATAAATATAAATACTATTTTCTATAAACTTAATTAAATTTTAGAAATTTGACTCATCCAAAATCTACAGTTGTATGTTTTTTTTGGATGGAAGGAGTACATTGGTAGTATTTGGTTGGAGGGATCAGGTGGGAGAGTGTGAGCATTTCTCATTTGACAATTGGATCTCGTACTCTCATTCACGTTTTGGTGTCCTTAAGTCAAACAAAAAATGGATCGGTACAGTTAGGTGGATCCGTCCCATCCCAGGAATTAGGGACAAGACTATCCCACTTCACTTTATTTCCCCAACAAACGCTACCTTTGTAGGTACTAGCAGTTTTAGAGCAACGGTGGCCAAGGTCCATTTTTTAAATACTTTTTAAGGCAATCCATACCTCAAAAGAGACCCAATTCAAAGAGGACATGTCGTTTTATTGCAATGGTAATTTTCGTCCAGGATGGATAGATGTTTATATACTAATTAAATTAATAGATTTTACACTTAGTGCGTTGATTATCTTTAATTCATTCGGTCTCATTTTGTGCTTTTTGAAAATTCACCATGGAAAATCTCTAAAAAGAATACCAGGGCTGAAAATCATAAGTTTATTATGGTCCACTACTAAAATTATTTGCGATAAATCGAAATAATCGTATTTACATAATTTTTCCAAACCACGGAAAAAATATATTGCTCAGTTTCCTAGAGCAGCGGCCCGTCCACGTGCTGCGCACTCACGGAGGAAAGGAACCCCTCGAAGTGCTCTCGAGACCCAATAGTATGAGAGTCCAGAACTGTTTGAGGCATCCCGCGCAGCCCAAGCCCAAACGAAAATCACCCACCTCCAACGCCGCGCCCAGCCCTCCTCTATGGGACCTCTGCAGCCCGGCCCAGCCGAAGCACGCTGTGCTGAGGGTCCGTGGCCCACTGGCTTACAGAACTCGGCGCCGCGCCCCCTCGCTTGTTTCCCCCGTCCACCGTCGCGCCGCCGCCGCCACAACTGCTTTGCTTATCGGACATGTTGCCGGCGACGGGACGCGGGAATGCCAACCATGCAGTCGCCCTCTTTCGGCCGAAGCTGAGAAGCGTTGGGCGGAGATCTATCTAGCTCGTCCTTCCCTGGAGGTGAGCAACCCTAGCGAGCATGTCGTCGCGGCTGTGCGTGAAGAACCTGCCCAAGGGCGCCGACGAGAGGCGCCTGCGGGAGGTGTTCTGGCGGAAGGGCGAGGTCACCGACGCCAAGGTCATCCGAACAAGGGCCTGTCCGCTGATTGGTGCTGGTGTTGGTTTTCAATTTACTTACGCCTTTTTTTTAAGAGAAAAACATCGCTTACTTGCTTTGGTTTGGGCTAATTTTGAAACAAACAAAACAATGTTCTGAAAGTAAGCAAGCTGAGCAATAAATTATTATTATTATTATTACTATTTTTTCCCCTTCCGGTTCGTGGAGGAGATGAAGTGGGTCGGCTTCTCTCTTTCCTCTTACCGAACGAATTGTATTTTAAGGGGTTATTTGCATTCATGTTATTACAATTTTTTTTTATGTTCAAAGAAACGTTATTACTATTTATCTATTTTGAAGTATGTCATTATAATTCTTCGTTTTTCACAAAAATACCACTGACGGACCCAACCTGGGTCTGTCACTGACACACGGGCTCTTCGTTTTTCACAAAAATACCACTGACGGACCTAACCTGGGTCTGTCACTGACACACGGGCTCCCAATGTCGTCTTCTTCCTCCTGTGCTTGGTGCCCCCACATGCCACTGCCGCTTGCTGCTATCACCGCCGCCGCCATGCCTAATCCAGCGAGGCCATGGCCTCGTGCCTCCGCCACAAGGCCAGGCTGCTGCTCCTCCTCCTCCTCGGCGCGGCGCGCTTCATGGCCGAGGCGACACAGACTGGTGGACTACTGGCGCGCAGAAGCTGCGGCGGCGTGGGCCGACGGACCTCCCAGCTCCCGCTTCTTCGCCTCCACAGGACTTCACAGCGACCCCGCTTGTTCGGGCGGCGTCTCTCGCTCCCCGGACGGCGCGTCACCACACTTCGCTTTCAAGAACTCACAAGGCTGGCGCTTGCCTGGCCTCGCCGGCACCTTCCATCCATGGCCATTGCCACGCCTCCCGCGCTAACCTCGCTCTCCCTCGTGCGGGCGTCACACACGGACGCTTATCCCCGGCCGCCACCTCCTCCCGCACTCGCTTCCTCGCGCCATCGGGAACCTCCTCTCCGGCGACCTCCCGGCGCCCTTCATACCAAGGCCCGCACCGTCGACCTCAAGAAGAACGGGTTCACGGGGCGGGTACCCGTCGTCCGCCCGGTGCGGGACTCGCGGACGCCGTCCTCTCCCCACAACGCGCTTCTCGGCGAGATCCATGGTGGTGAGGTCCCCGCTGCTCCACCTCGACCGCAAAGAACCGCTTTGTCGGGCGGGTCCCGCCACGCCGCACACCTTGGTGTACTCTCTCATTGGCGGGGAACTGCTCTCCGCCATGTCGGGGCGCGCGGCGGCGGCCTTTGCCAGTCGTTGCTCGTCGACCTTTGGACGGAACTGGTTCTCCCGGCGAGGTGCCGGGGAGGTGTTCGCTCACCGGATCGGCACTGCGGCTGCGGAAGAACGCCTTCTCGGGGAGCTTCGGCTCATTGGCGCGTCCCGCCGGGCGCCACCGTGGACCTCACCATTAACGCACTCTCCGCCGCATCCCGCCCGAGAGGAGGAAGAAGATGACATGTGGGGCCCGCGTGTCGATGATGATGGGGAGATGAAGTATACGTCTTCAGATACCCCTCACAAATTGGGCCCATGTTGTGTCCATACGTATTCAGTGGCATTTTTGTGGGAAACGAAGAATTGTAATGGCATGCTTCAAAATAGGCGAATAGTAATGTCGTTTCTCCAAACATCGAAAATTATAATGGCATGAATCCAAATAACCCTATTTTAAGTGCAAAGGATCTACATGAAATTGAGCTTTTGCTTTTGGGCAGGGATGGCAAGAGTCGGCAATTTGCATTCATTGGTTACAGAACCAATGAAGAGGCAGAGGAGGCACTCAAGTATTTCAACAACACATACATTGATACTTGTAAGATCACCTGCGAGGTACTTTCCTTTTTAGCTGTTTTCAACATTCTCCTCGGTCCTGTGGTATCAGTTTGGTGAATTGTCTGTACGAGATTGAATGGGACAGTGATGAGTTCGGATTAGGAATATCCGTACCTTACATCTGTCATGGTATTTGGCAGGTTGCCCGAAAGATTGGTGACCCTGATGCTCCTTGCCCTTGGAGCCTCCATTCTTTAAAGAAGCCCGAACATGCTAGCAAAGGCAAGAATAATGCTGGAGCTGTTGATGCACCGCCAAAAGGTTCCAAGGCTCAAGGAACCTCAGCTCATGTTAGTGGTTCTAAAGGCAGTGTAGCTAATGATCCCAAGTTCCTAGAGTTCCTTGAAGATATGCAGCCCCGTTCTAAAGCCAAGATGTGGGCAAATGATACAGCTGCTACTCTTGACACCGCTGCAAAAGATAGCATAGTATTCACTAAAGAATCTAAGGGACCTCTAAAAAATGTTCCGACCTCTGAGAATGATTCATCTTCTGAATACACTTCTGATGACGAGGAAATGACAAATGATTCGTCTTCCGGAAAGGCTTCGGAGGAGCTACAGACAGAGAATAAACAAGACAAGAATATAACTGATGCAGATTTCTTCAAGAGTAAAGTCAAGAAAAATTGGTCAGATTCTGAATCTGATGATGAAGGTTCTGTCACCAGTCAAATACCACCACTGATGATGAAGATTCGTCAGATGAATCACAAGATGCAAATAACCAGTTGGCGGATCTGAAGGGCAATCTTGACAAGAAAAACATTGTGGACAAGGACACTATTGTGGATAATACCGACTTGCAAGAGGTGGAAGATCTTGACAACAAAGAGAGTGAAGATCTTGATGGCAGACAAAGAGAAACTGAAATTCGTGAAGATCAAGAAGGGGAAGATGAAAATGGTGCTCCAATTACTGATGAAAAGAAGTTGGCCCTGGAGACTGGTCGTCTATATATCTTCAACCTTCCATATGCAACCAGGTAGGTTGACACATTCTTGCCTGGTCATGTTAACTTGGATCATCATTTTGTGTGTTATTTGTGTATATTCATGACACAGCTGCATAGTTTTTTTTTAAAGGATATTGTTGCTTATTTTTTCAGTGAAGATGATTTAGTGGAGCTGTGCCGCCAATATGGTGATGTGGAACAGGCACACATTGTTGTCGATAAAACCACTAAGCTATCAACCGGTAGAGGCTATGTGCTTTTTAGCCTTCCGGACTCAGCAGTCAGGTACAGATTTATAATTTCAATGTTCAATTGTGAACTTTAGGAGTTAGGACTTGCGACAGGGAGCTTTCTTGCAATGTGACAGTCTTCCTTTGGATATTCTTATTTATTTAAGACATAATCACCTTACTTGGCTCAAATTTCTTTTGCTTTTTATTATCCTGCACATAGTCATACTTGTCCCTAAATAATTACTAAGAAGATGTTAGCGATTTGAAGGCAAAAGCTGAACGATGTCTCAAACTTTTCCCACATTAGATGCATATCCAATTCAATACTGAATGTTTTAATCATAATTTGAGACACAATCACACCAAAGAAATGCACTTTTGTGAGCTTTAGGACATAATTGAATCTAGGACCTATCCTTTTTAAGAACTACACGTGCATGTTTCATACACGTCCTAGTCACTGAACACTTATCAATATGTGAGCAAGAAGTTTGACTGAGACGTCTTATTTTCCATGCTTGTGTTGCTTGCTTGCTTGCTAGATGGTACATTGACCATTATATACCCACCTAATATTGAACTGTTATTTTTGGCAGGGCACTTGATGAACTAGATAACTCAAGTTTTCAGGGCCGATTGTTACGTGTTAAGGCTGCTAAACCGCTAAATAATAATAAGTTGGAGTAAGATGTAAGAAAATAAAGTTCTGTTTGTATTGTTACTTGTTAGATTAGTTACACCTATAGTTTTTACTGATTTGCTATTGAATTGTCAAGGTATAATCATGAAACTGTTTTGGAGAAAATGAGTCTCAAGCAGAAAAGGTTGGAACAAAAGAAAGCTTCTGAGATCAGTGGGGATACGAGAGCATGGAACAGCTTTTATATGCGTCAAGATACTGTATGGTTCTCCCTCCCATCTTTGACATTGATTTCCAGTTTTTTGTCTGTGTCCAGTGTCAACTCAATACTTCTCTGATATGTTGTTTCTGAGATAATGTAGATAGATACTGATCCACATGATCTTGTCAAATACTATGTCTAATGTTTGGCCTTTGCTTTCCTGATTAGGTTGTTGAAAACATTGCAAGGAAGAATGGTATCAGTAAGAGTGAGTTACTAGATAGGGAGGCAGATGACCTTGCTGTTCGTATTGCTCTTGGTGAGACACACGTCATTGCAGAGACCAAGAAATTTCTATCAAGATCTGGAGTTAATGTTGCTGCATTGGAGGAACTTGTTTCTAAAAGAAACGAGAAGTTCAAAAGAAGCAATCATGTGATATTAGTAAAGAACTTGCCATTTAATTCTACGGAAGAAGAACTTGCGGCAATGTTTCAGAAACATGGTAGTTTGGATAAGATCATTCTACCTCCAACAAGAGTATTTGCCTTGGTATGTTAGTATATTCCACTTGTGTTATCCAGCTGTTTTTATATATTGCATCACTTTATGTTTTTACTATACTTGCCTTCTTTTAACTTGTGTCACTTTTCAAATGCATCCTGAGTGCTTGAATTGCGCATAATTTGCCCCTTGTGTTTATTTGTCTTGACTTGAGTCACATTTTGGTGTACCAGGTGGTCTTTGTTGAAGCAACTGAAGCCCGTCACGCATTCAAAAAATTACTATATACGCGATACAAGTAAGTTCCTGCAATAGTTTTAGTTTTTTTTTTTAATTTCAGTGACTGGTACAGCTTACAAACATTTGCATTTGTAAGCTTGATTCTTTTTCCCTCTATGAAGATGTACCAGCTCCGATTCTTTTAGCAATTGGTGTATCTACAGTATTTATGTAACATTTGCTTGATTTAATCTACTACTTAAATAAGCTTAAGATAAGTTGCTGTGATTAATTGGTTCTTGCTTATGGTTATGTCATGTTATTTGGTCGCTTGCTAGCTTGATTTTTTATTTTCACAAATCTGTGTTTTGTATCTTATTCTTTTGTTATGTTTATGCCCCAGCTGATGGAACTAGAGGAGGTCTACTCACTGCTTGGGATCCGGCACTCTTTTGACTCGAAAACTTTTTTACAAAACCTCATACTCTTACTACTTCATTCTCTTCCAACGCTTCCAACCTTGATTTTACCATCACCAACACTTATGGCCCCGCCGATCACGCAGGCTCATTACCCTTTCTGCAAAAACTCCTTGAACTACCACCACCGATCCCTGGTCCTTGGATCCTGCTTGGGGATTTTAACCTGGTCAGATGCGCAGCCGACAAGAATAATGGCCAAATCAACACTACCCTCACCTCAGCTTTTAATGATACGCTCCACCAGCTCAATGTTTCTGAAATTGACCTTTCGGACAGGCTTTTCACTTGGTCGAATAAGCAACCCAGCCCAATAAGCTAAGCTCGACCGCGCCTTCACCAACCACGATCTCAACCTTGCTTTCCCTCTCACCAGCCTCTCCTCCCTCCCTCGACCCACCTCCGATCACACGCCTCTTCTGCTATCACTATCCACCTCCCTCCCAAAAGCTCGCTTCTTCCGCTTTGAAAATTTCTGGCTTCAAAATCAAACTTTTCTACAATCTGTCATGCCGGCTTGGCAGCAGGCACCGGCTCGGGCCGACGCGGTTGGGCAGCTGGCCGCTTGCATCAAATCGACAAGAGCGGCGGCAAAGGTTTGGTCCCGGTGTATCAGGGCACCCACAGAAATAATTCATAACTGTCTATTCCTGATTCAGTTGTTTGATTATTACAAAGAAATACGGCAACTCTCCTCTGAAGAGTTTCAGGTGAGAAGGAAAGCTCAAGAGGGCCTTGAACAGGCCAACAAAGCAAGGGCCACTTACTGGAAGCAACGAAGCAAGAACAAGGCCATTCGAGAAGGCGACTCCAACACAGCTTTCCATCACGCACAAGCGACTCAACGACTAAGGCATAACTTCATTCGTATGGTACGAGTGGAGGGCACAGAGATTGTCAACCATGACGGCAAGACGGCTGCCCTGACCTCATACTTCCGATCGATAATGGGCACGCCTGGGGAATCAGTGGATACAGACCTTGCCAGCTTATATGAGGAAAGATCGCAGCCAAGCAACTCACTGACAGATGCATTTTCAGAGGCTGAAACCAAACAAGTGCTGCTGCTGATGAACCGTAACAGTGCTCCCGGCCCTGATGGCTTCGGGCTCGCATTCTACAGAGCGGCATGGCCAACAGCGCGTGTGCAAATCACGGACTTCATGGCAGCCTTCCACCGGGGCGATGCACAGCTAGAGAGCATTAACAGATCACATATGGTGCTCATCCCCAAGAAGCTGGGAGCTGTTGATGTCGATGCCTTCAGACCAATATGCCTGCAAAACTGCACCTTGAAGATTCTTTCAAAAGTTCTAACAAAGAGGCGCTGCAAGATGATATTCCGAATCTAATAGACCTCAATCAGACGGGATTCATCAAAGGACGATCCATCTCTGATACATTTGTCTATGCTCTTGAGTTGGTTCAGGTCTGTCACAAAAGAAAACGTCCGGCACTGGTACTAAAACTAGACTTTGCAAAGGCCTTTGACACTGAATTGGGCGGGTCTGTTCAGAGTGCTGCGTGCGAGAGGCTTCAGTGATTTGTGGATCAAATGGATGGAGACTCTCCTGAACACCTCCAAATCAGCAGTCCTTGTGAATGGCTGCCCCGGACCATGGATAACTTGTCAGAGGGGACTACGCCGGGTGATCCCATATCTCCTTATCTGTTTCTTCTGGTGGCTGAAACACTGCAATGTATGATAAAGGGCTGTGGAGACATTCAGCACCCCGCTGACGATGGACTGCCTAGTGCGGTTCTGCAGTATGCCGACGATACCTTAATTGTTCTCAAGGGTGATCAAAGAGGTGTCTCCTCTCTCAAAACTCTGCTCGACCAGTTTGCATCAATGTCAGGCCTCCACATCAACTATGCTAAAAGCACTCTGATGCCAATTCATATGGATGAGCAAACAATTGTCAGTTGTGTCGACATAATTGGATGCAAAAGAGAGGGTTTTCCGCAGCCATACTTGGGACTCCCCCTGTCTGTCAACAAATTGCCGCTCTCAGCATATGACCCATACATTCAGAAAACTGACAGACACCTCAGCGGCTGGCAAGCTCACCTGCTGAACCCAATGGGCAGGGCGGTGCTCATCAACTCAGTACTCGACAGCCAGCTTGTCTACTTCATGAGCTCACTGCAACTGCCACCATCGGTCATACATCAGATGGACAAGAACGACACGCCTTCGTGTGGTCGGGAGATCAAACCAGAAAATCATCGCCGGCAAGTTGTTTGGTCGCTTGGACACAAGTGTGTGCCACCAAAGATCAGGGAGGCTTAGGCATCAAGGACATGGGCACTCAGAACATTTGCCTGTTGCTGAAACTCATTCACAAACTACACTGTCCCGAATCCTCGGCCTGGGCACAGTGGGTGCAAGGCCGGGCCTGCATCTCCACCCTTAAAGGTGACATTCATGGTGACCACTGGACGGCACTACGGTCTCTGCTCCCACTTTACCAGGCGATCACCTCGGTGAAGATCGGCGATGGAGCAACATGCTCTTTCTGGCTAGATGTTTGGCATGGAGACAAAGCTCTAGCAGACATCTGCCCAACACTCTTTAGTCACTGCACAAGAAAGGATGACACTGATGGATAAGTCTCTGTGTTGGCTGGTTTTTATGGGGCTGCAGCATATGGTCCTTGTGGCAGCATGGTGGTCTTGCTGCCCATCAAGGACAGCATCCTTGACTAGCTAGGACAGCATCTTAGCATCTAGGACTAGCATCTAGGACAGCATCTAAGACAACATCTTAGCATCTAGGACTAGTATCTTGTCATATGCTTAGCTGGCTAGCAACCTATAAATATGTATCCCCAACCCCTCAGGTTGGCATGATATTTGTGTGAGAAATAAACCAGAAAATTATCCTAACTCCTAGTGTCATCCTCTCTCGATGAGAGTAAGAATTCTGCTACTACCAAGAGTAAGAATTCAGCGACTAACAACTGGTATCGGAGTCAGATTATCCTCAGAGCTCGAGCATCTTCTCGCTCATCTCCTTTCCCAAACCTCGCAACATGCCCCCAGTGAGCAAAGAGCAGCTCGGCCGCCTCCCTCGCCACTCCTCCCCCTCTGCAGAAGAGCCCTCTCTCCCCACGCAGCAGCCCCTCAAGATGGCGCTCATGTCTGCAGGCAGTCTCGGCCTTCGGTCGCCTCGAGCACGCGCGGGCGCCGGGTAGAGGCCGAACTTTGCCTTGCAGCAGGAACGCGAGCGAAGCGGCGGCAAGCGCCGAGGTCGGCAATGCGGAGGCGGGGCAGCAGCGAGCGGAGGCGGAAGCGGCGGCGGCGGCGGCGGCGATGCGCGTGCAGGCGGCGGCAGCAATGAGGTCGAGGTTTCATATGGCGGCAAGACGCAAGAACTCCGTTGCCTGACGACAGCGGCAGCCGACGCGGACCTCGAGCGCTAGGGAGGAGAGGGAGGCAGGCCATGAAGCGCGACGCGGCGAAGGGGGGCAGCCGCGACGCCCACGAAAGCGTGGCGGCAGCCTGCAGACAAAGCGCGACGCGCGGGCGGCGCCTCTGGAGGAGGCGCGCGACGGCAACGGTGGCGGACGGGTCGATGGAGAGCGCGCCTTCATAGGCAAAGCGTGGTTCTCTCTCCCGGATCGGTACCGCGGGTTACCACGGGCTCCGTGTCGTTGTCGGGGACGCCGGCCCGGCGGTGGGTGACCTACCTCACTAAGACCAACTACGCCGAAAGCCGCGGTGATGAGGGTAAAGCTCTAGGTGCGGCACATGTGGGAGGCAGTCCGGTACGGCGATGTCGACTACGACTAGGATCGACGGGCGTTGGATGCCCTCATCGCTGCAGTCCCGTCCGAGATGCAGTTCTCGCTTACCAACAAGCGGACTGCCAAGGAGGCTTGGGACGCCATCGCTGCGGCACGCATCGGCAACGCCCGCGCCCGCAAGTCCACACTGCAGGCACTTCGCAAGGAGTGGGGAACCCGCCTTCAAGCCGTGTGAGGACGTTGATGACTTTGCTCTCCGCCTCAACACTGCTGCGAAGATGGTGCAGTTCGGGCATGGCGACACCTACGGCGAGGAGAGAGCTGTCGAAAACTCTTCCGCTGCGTCTTCGAGAAGTACAAGCAGATGGCTCGCTCGATCGAGTCCTTACTGGATCTCTCCACGATGTCGATCGAGGAGGCGATAGGTCGCCTCAAGGTCGTCGACAGCGATGAGCCACAGTCTCTCTCGGGGCCCATCACCACTGGCGGGAAGCTCCTTCTCACTCGGTAGCAGTGGGCTGCCTGCCAAGGTGACCGGAAGAAGGGGGAGCCTTCTTTCACGACCGGCGGCTGCAAACGTGGCAAGCCGCGCAGAGACGCCCAGGCCGGGGTGCAAGGACGTGCCGAGGGTGATGCCCGCAGAGGCGCCTGTGGCGGCGCGCCACGCAAGCACAAGCCGCACGAGATGACACCGCCAAGAATCGCGCCACCTTGGCCATTGGGCCAAGGACTGTCGACAGCCACGACGCGGCCAGGCCCACGTCACACAGGCGGAGGAGGAGCCGGCTCTGTTCATGGCACATGCAAGCATCGAGCTACCTCCAGCGGCATTGGCCGCAGCGACTCTCCTCCACCTTGACGAGCCAAAGGCACACGCCCTCCTCGGCAACGGCTTCGGCAACAAGACTGACGGGTGGTGCCTCGACACCGGCGCCACCCATCACATGACCGGCCGACGGGAGTTCTTCACCGAGCTTGACTCTAGCGTCCGAGGCTCCGTCAAGTTTGGGGATGCCTCCGCGTGGAGATCAAGGGCGTCGGCTCCGTCATCTTCACTGCTGTGTTCGGTGAGCACAGTCGCGCTCACCGGAGTCTACTACATCCCGCGTTGAGGAACTCTATCATCGCCTTTGGGACATTTGGATGAGAACGGTTCGGGCGTGGTGGTTGAGGATGGAGTCATGAGGATTTGGGATCGCTGTCGTCGCCTCCTTGCCAAGGTAACCAGAAGCGCAAATCGATTTCTACGCCCTTAACGTGCAGGTGGCACAACCCCTCTGTCTACGCGCTCGTCGGGATGACGAGGCGTGGCAAAGGCACGAGCGCTTTGGGCACCTTTTCACTTCGAGGCCCCCAAGCGGCTCGGTTGCCACGGAGATGGCGCGAGGCCTGCCGTGCCTCGACCATGTGGAGCAGCAGCTCGCGACGTCTGCGTGTTGACGGGCAGCAGGCGACTCCCTTTCCCCAATGGGCGAGAAGCCGAGCCAAGGAGAGGCTCGAGCTTGTGCACGGGGACTTGTGGCCCCCGTGACACCGCCACACCGGGAGGACGACGCTATTTCCGCCGCGTCGTCGACAACCTCTTCCGCTACATGTGGGTGATGGTCCTCGGCAGCAAGGGAGAGGGTGCGGACGCCATCAGTGCACGCAGTTATCAAGGAGGCGCGAGTGTAGCCGCAAGAAGCAGGCGTCGCACACACCGACAACGGTGGCGAATTCACGGCGGCTAAATTCGCGTCGCATCAAGGCCGATGAGGGCATTCGCCACCACTACTCCGCAGACTGCATGACCCGCAGCAGCAGAACGGCGCGTTGTTGGCGGCGCAACCGCGACGGTTGTGGGGATGTCTCGGGCCCTCAAGCGTAGGGGATGCCGGCTGTTTCTCGAGAGGCGGTGGTGTCGGCCGTCTACATCCTCAACCGCTCGCCTACCAAGGCGCTCGACGGCAGGACGCCGTACGAGGCTTGGCATGGGCGCAAGCCGACGGTCTCCCACTTGCGGGTCTTCGGCTGCCTCGCGTTCGCCAAGGAGCTTGGCCACATTGGCAAGCTCGACGACAGGAGCACTCCGGGAGTGTTCATCGGCTACGCGGAGGGCTCGAAGGCCTACCGTATCCTTGACCCGAAGACACAGCGTGTGCGCACGGCGCGCGACGTTGTGTTCAACGAAGGGCGAGGATGGGCGTGGGACAAGGCGGTGGACGATGGCTCGGCTCCGATGTACGACGACTTCACTGTCGAGTACGTCCACTTCGAGGGAGCTGGGGGAGTAGGCAGCTCTTCTTCGACAAGCGCGTCTACCCCAGTCCCCGAGCCTCCACCGACCCGCGCGCCGCATCTCGACAAGACCACGCGCTCTCCGTACCAGACCTCCTACCGCGATGAGTTCTTCTTCGGCGGCTCCACGCCCGCACCGCCACGCACTCCAAAGACCAACAGCACCTCTCGGGCACGCCTTCTTCAACACTAGCTCGTGGTCGAGCACAGCCCGCTTGAGCTCGCTTACATTCGCTCTCTCACGACGGCGAAGATCGACACGTACCACGACGGCGAGCCGTTGCGGTACCGTACGATGGAGAACCTTCTCGGTGACCAGCCAGTGCCGAGACTGGTGCCTCACAACCTGGAGGCGCAGTTGCACCTTGCGTGTGACGACGGCGAGCCTCGATCGTTTGCAGAAGCCGAGAGACACGCGGCATGGCGCGCCACGGTGCAATTGGAGATGGATGCGGTTGAGAAGAACCGCACCTGGGAGCTTGCGGACCTTCCTCGTGGTCACCGCGCGATCACCCTTAAGTGGGTGTACAAGCTGAAGAGGGATGAAGCCGGCGCCATCGTCAAGCACAAGGCTCGCTTGGTGGTACGAGGTTTTGTGCAGCAGGAGGGGGTCGACTTCGACGACACCTTTGCTCCCGTGGCACGGATGGAGTCCCGCGACTTCTGGCGCTTAGCTGCCTGTGAGGGTGGCGTGTTCATCACATGGACATCAAGTCGGCGTTCCTTAACGGCGACTTGAAGGAGGAGGTCTCATGCACCACGGCCGGATTTGTGATCCCGGCAAGGAGGGCAGGTGCTCGCTCGCTGCAAGGCCCTCTATGGCTTGGCGGCGAACCGAGGGCGTGGAATGTCAAGTTGATTCCACGCTAAAGGGATGGGCTTTGAGCAAAGCCCGCACGAGGTGGCCATCTACCCGACGGGCAAAGGAGGAAATGCTCACTGGTGGGTGTCTACGTCGACGACTTGGTGATCACTGGCACCAAGGATGCGGAGGTGGCGGCATTCAAGGAAGAGAGGCCACCTTCCAGATGAGTGACCTGGGGCCTCTCTCCTTCTACTTGAGAATCGAGGTGCACCAGGATGACTCCGGGATCACGCTTCGACAGACCTCCTACGCCAAGCGCGCCGTTGAGCTAGCTGGGCTCACCGACTGCAACCTAGCTCTCACTCCGATGGAGGAGAGGCTGAAGCTGAGCTGCGACAAAGACGACGGAGGAGGTGGACGCCACATAATACCGGCGCCTTGTGGGAGCCTTCGCTACCTCCCACACACGGCCGGACTTGGCATTCTCCGTCACACGTTAGTCGGTTCATGCAGCGACCGACGACAGAGCACCAAAGCCAGTTGTGAAGAGGATCATCCGCTACGTTGCGGGGACTCTCGACCACGGCCTCTACTACCCTAGGTGCCCTGGGGCGGCACACTTCGTCGGGTACAGCGACAGCGACCACGCCGGAGACATCGACACCAGCAAGAGCACGAGCGGGATCCTCTTCCTCCTCGGCAAGTGCCTCGTTAGCTGGTAGTCGGTCAAGCAGCAGGTGGTGGCCCTGTCCAGCTGCGAGACCGAATACATAGTGGCCTCCACCGCTTCGACTCAGGCGCTCTGGCTCGCTCGACTGCATGGTGATCTCCTCAGCAGAGACACTAGAGCGGTGGAGCTCAGGATGGACAGCAAGTCCGCTCTGGCCCTGGCAAAGAACCCCGTTTTCCATGAACGGAGTAAGCACATCCGGGTGAGGTACCATTTCATCCGAGGCTGTTTGGAGGAAGGGAGCATCAAGGCGAGCTACATCAACACCAAGGACCAGCTTGCGGACTTGCTTACCAAGCCTCTTGGGAGGATCAAGTTCCTTGAGCTCTGCTCCAGGACCGGGATGGTTCAACTTTCCCACAAGACGACGCACAAGACTTAGGGGGAGAATGATGGATAAGTCTCTGTGTTGGCTGGTCTTTGTGGGGCTGCAGCATATGGTCCTTGTGGCAGCATGGTGGTCTTGCTACCCATCAAGGACAACATCCTTGACTGGCTAGGACAGCATCTTAGCATCCAGGATTAGCATCTAGGACAGCATCTAGGACTAGCATCTAGGACATCATCTTAGCATCTAGGATTAGCATCTTGGCATATGCTTGGTTGACTAGCAGCCTATAAATATGTATCCCCAACCCCTCAGGTTGGCATGACATTTGTGTGAGAAATAAACCAGAAAATTGCCCAAACTCCTAGTGTCATCCTCTCTCGATGAGAGTAAGAATTCTGCTACTACCAAGAGTAAGAATTCAGCGACTAACAGACACAGTAAAGGAGGTGATACTGTCTGGTCAGCGCCCTGGACTGGTGCCAAGACTATCGCAAACGGCTCTTCAAGAGCTGCAGTATGTTGAAGGTGTGCTCGCACAAACGGAACTTTCAGGTCAAGCCGATCAGAGATCTTCACCATTCAGCAAAAACGCCTCAGGGCTTGATAGCGGTGCAATCTACCAGCTGCTAAAGGTGAAAGGACAGCCGTCTGATGACAGAGCAAACTTCGTCTGGCGAAATGCAGTACCTCCATGCATGCAGATGTTCATGTGGCTGCTTCTGCAGGGCAGGATACAGTGCCGCTCTGTGCTGCACCGGAAAAATGTGCTACCGGACTGTACCTGTGAGGTCTGCAATGAGGATGACGAAACACCGGAACACATAATCAGCGGCTGCAACCTTGGCAAGCAGTTCTGGGAGAAGCTTGGGGCAACATCCATGGTGGGAATCAGTGTTACTAACATACACACAACAACGCCACCAAATGGGGTCCCCAGAGAGGAGTACTCGGCCTTCATTGCGTTAGCATGCTGGCAGCTGTGGAAGGCAAGAAATGCAACAGTATTCAGAGAAGAAAGGCACAACATCACACAAGTATTCGCAGCCTGCAAAGCATCGGCAGAGCAATGGCGATACAGATTTCCAAGAAGGAAAAGGCCAATTGTTGATCAGTGGTGTCAGGTTTTCGAATCAGCAAGAAATGGATGACTAGTGCTCATACTTGATTTTGACAAACAACTATCATCACCACCTGTGGGATGATATGTAACCAAACACCTTGTATAACTATATAACGGGCCGGTTTTTGGGCCAATATATAAATCAGGTGGGGAACGCCTACCCCCTGTTGAAATTCAAAAAAAAAAAAAAATACTCCTCTGTATTTGGAGTGGGCACCTGAAAACATATTATCTCCTACCTCAGCACCGGTGGATGAGGAAGAAAAGAATGAAGTTGGCGAGCATATTGTTACTAAAGCTATTGTAGAACAAACTGTGGAAGGAGTAAGCGCTGAAGACATTGACCCAGATAGGGTGGAGGTTTGAAACCTCAACTTCTTTGCATGAATGTTTGGCCCTCATACCTCTTTACTATACGCATATGGCACTAGGGTTTCCTACGGCAAAAACTTGTGTTCCTAAGTGTGCACCTGTTTTTGCATATGAATTGCTGCATTCCAAAATTGCTTTAGAATTATTTAGTTGCTTATCGTTGGAGTCCATTTCTGTTCTTAAAAGATACCATCGTTTGTCATGATCGGTGTTTGTCAAGAACTTAAATTTCAAGGCAACAGATGAATCTTTGAAGCAGCATTTCAGTACAAAGCTAAAGAGTGGCAGTCTTAAAAGTGCAACGGTATGGATTGGATGTGCTCTTATTATGGATATCAGGTGCATCTTGCAGCAATTTTCTTTGTCTGTCTTTAGGTGAAGAAGCATGTTAAGAAGGGCAAGAATGTTTCAATGGGATTTGGTTTCGTGGAGTTTGACTCTGTTGAAACTGCAACCGGTGTGTGCAAGGATCTACAGGTAGCACTCATCCCTCTTCTGTTTTCCTTTTTTCTTCTTTCCATTAAATGCTCATATAGATGTGCAGCATGCTAAATGTTCCTTCTGTTCATAGGGAACGGTTCTGGATGGACATGCTTTGATCTTGCAACTGTGCCATGGGAAGAAAGATGGTCAAGCTGCAAAGAAGAATGGCAAGGATAAGAGTTCAACAAAACTGCTTGTGCGTAATGTAGCATTTGAAGCAACTGAGAAGGACTTGAGGCAGTTATTTAGTCCGTTTGGCCAGGTCAGCGTCCTCTTTTTTCATCTGAATAACTTGGGACCAATGTTAGTTAATTAGGTTAAATTTTGTTTAATATTAGTCAAGTTCGTCTTTTCAGTTCTCCTTGCTCAACAGAAAAAAAAAACATTAGTTTCAAGTTGATAAGTGATTTTACTCTTTTTCCCCAGAAATCTTCTGATTTGAACTCATTATTAAAATTAAAATTTGTAGATCAAAAGCCTCAGGTTGCCTATGAAGTTTGGAAGCCACAGAGGTTTTGCATTTGTCGAATATGTCACGAAACAAGAGGCCCAGAATGCTCTACAAGCCCTCGCAAGCACTCATCTTTATGGTCGACACCTGGTAATTGATCAACATGTCCCCCTCAAGCTTGCAATCTACTTTACATCATAATGAATTTTAAATCAAACTTCCTGACTCCACTTCAGGTGATTGAGCGAGCAAATGAAGGAGAGACTCTTGAAGAACTGCGAGCAAGAACTGCTGCACAGTTTGTGGATGAACACAGCGGTTTTCAGAGCTTGTCCAGAAAGAGGAAACAGAGCAGCCTTGTGGACGAAGGCTCTGTTAAAATTTCCGGAATAGTAGAGTGATGATTTTGAGAGAGTAGGCTGAAAATTTTGACCGTGCGGTGCAATAGTATCAGTTTGTTAGGAAAAACTGGGTTCTCTTAGGTTGCTTAATGTTTGTGTGCTGTTTTAGAGCTGAGGAAAAGAAATGCTGAAAAAGATCTCACAACCTACAAAATGGCTAAAAGTACATCATAAATGCAAGAGCTGTCTAAATCAGTTTTGAAACTAGCTGATCTGGCAAGCATATTTCTACAGCCCGTCGTTGAGTTTATAACTCTACATACAGCACGATCTCAAATTTTATACACCACTGAACTGATGATCACGTCTCATCTAATCTATGTTTCTTTCCCTATACCTGTGTTTACCTCTCTGTAACAGAAGCAGAACGTGCAAGATCTGTGTGAACCGCTACCATGTACATTGTGACAGTTTTATCGCTGGGCAACATTTACAAATTTCAAAACTCGGTCGAGAAGAGATGGCTTTGGATAGCTTCAGCAACTGTCGAAAGAAAGGTTAGTTATGCTGCATTCTCATCATGTGAGATATAGCCACGTGAAACTGAAGATGTTGTCACATGCCTAACTACGCTTGCTGGGCCTCCTCCGTCCTCAGCGCTGGTTCTCACTGTGCTGGCTGTCCAGGGGCATGTACTGCTGCGCCATGATCTCCGAGTCCATGTATCGCTGCAACACAAGACAGTGGGAATCCACGGTCAGGAAGGAAGGAAGAAAGAACCAGCTGTGTGTCTGCTGCCTGGATTGGGGCAGAGATCGCTCGGTCCCTACCCTGAGCCTGTACTTGTAGAACACGTATCCGGCGACGCACGACAGGACCAGTGTGGTGACGAGCCACCCGAACGCCGACATTTTCTTGGCTGGACGTTGAACAGCAGGCAGCCGAGCGTTAACTCTTCAGCAAGAAGAATAACAGAAGGAGGAGGAGCAGGAGCTGGAGCATGAGAAGAAAGGTGGTTGATGATGGCTTCACCAATGCAGGTGTCTTCGTTCTTGATGTAGATCATGCCGCGGTTTCACTTGCAGTCGAAACCACCCCACGTGTTCTTGCACGAGCAGTGCGGGCAGGAGCACGCTGCACGCCAGCTTGTCTCTGCACTCGTCGACGTCTGCAATGCCCACGGGAATCAGCAAAGGCAGGCCAGGCTCGCTCAAGTCGATGCAATTCTGACGCACGCAAATTTGCAGGGAATCGGAGCAAGGTGGGTACATAAGTTCAGAGAACGTTAAATTATTTAACATTTTATTTGTTCCAGTAGTTCTCATCATTTATGCACTCTGATTGATACTATGATATATACTAGATACAACACACACATTTGGTTTAATAAACTACATTACAGTTTATTTTACCGGGCGGGTCAACAAATTCAGACTGTTACATTTATATTTCCAAGGCCATATATCAATTTCCAGGTGAGTAGGTGATCGACCGTGTGATATATAGGCGAGCGAATACCAGCTCACCATGACGAAAACGGTCACAAAAATCAAAATAATACTTTTCTGATGAAAAATATCATACTTTGTTCTAAATTATAGGTCGTTTTGACTTTTCTCGGTACATCGCTTTTATTATGCATATCTATATGATATGTAAAATTATGTATCTAAAAAGGCATTGGATCTGTGTTCCGTATTGAATGCTAATTACTCTCCCTATATAAAAAATTATAATTTTTACTTTTTGAGAAGTTAAATAATTTTGATTTTAAGTAATCTATAACAAAATTTATGATATCAAATAAATATCATCAGAATAGTCATAAAATATATTTTTATAATAATTTTATTTAGATATATAAATATCAATTCTATTTTCTATAAACTTAATTAAATTTTAGAATTTTGACTTATCCAAAATCTAGAATTGTATTTTTTGGACGGAAGGGGTATATTATAGGCTACTAGCGGTTTCCAGTAGAGCAGCAGTGGTCAAGGTCCATTTTTAAATACTTGTTTAGGGCAATCTACTAGATGCAGTTATGGTCCATACCTCAAAAGACGTCGCTCAACCCAATTCAGTGGAAATTTTCGTCCAGAATGGATAGATGTTTATATACTACTCTAATTAATAGACTTTACACTTAATGCGTTGATTAGCTTTAATTCGTTCGGTCTCATTTTGTGCTTTTTGAAAATTCACCATGGCAAATCTCTAAAAAGAATACCAGGGCTGAAAATCATAACTTTATTATGGTCCACTACTTAAATTATTTGCGATAAATCGAAATAATCCTATTCACATAATTTTTCCAAACCACGGAGAAAAAATATTAGATATAGCAAAATTGTTTCAAGTTTTTTCCGTAATAACAAACAGAGAGAGTTTCGTGCACGAAATACGCTCGCTGTCCCAGACAAGTTCAGGTTGCTTCGTCGCACAAAATTGTGCAGCCGGTTGCTTCCTCGCTCGGCTCCGCTACCAGCCGACAGCCTGGCAACGGCGGCGGCGGCCACCCTGTTGCGCCTCCGCGCGCCGTCGGCCCAGCCTCTGATGTGCTCCGCGACATCGTCCGCGAAGACGGCGCTGCGCTCCTGAACCTCCCCATCTGCAGTGCATCATTCATTGATTAGGTCGTGTGACTCAGATCAGATATCCACAGATCACCAGATCAGTGCTACTGGTAGCAAAGTGAAAAAGATGAGTGGCTGCTCTTTACTGCTGGCCGGCCTACTCTACTCACATGAGTGACGATGGCGTAGAGAGGGAGCGTGCTGTAGCTGCAGAGGACCTCCACGATGACACTGACGAGGAACAGAGAAAAGAGGCACAGAAGAAGCAAGCGTTAGCTAGATCGCTGCACATTGATCTCGCAAACCTGGATGACTGATCGACGAATCATTCAGCGTGAGATGAGAAGGATGCATGATGGATTAAGGTTCTCAATTGGTACCATATGACAATTCTTGACACGCTGTATCCCAGTCCGTCCATCATGCAGGAATTGACGCCGAATGTCTCCTGCATATATACAAAACATAACACGAGTTTCATTGCATTGACTGCATCTGCATGCATGGCTGATGCTTGTGCTTACCAGCGTCCAGAAGAAGAAGGCGTTCTGGAACAGGATGAAGCGGATGAGGATGAGTACCAGCCGGGGGCTCCGGAACCAGAACAGGTCGTCTGAAGGGCTCATGACCATGCCGTCCATGCGCACGCCACCCTCTTCGTCCTCGGCAGCAGCAGTGTGCTTCGTGGCGACCTCGTAGGCCAACTTGTTTATGATGTGCTCCAGCTTCGCTCCGATCAGAAGCAGCAGCTGGGAACAGGACAGAACTACTTCAGCAGCAAATGCAAAGAATTGCAAACCTCATAACACTAGTTTTTTTTATACAGGGTTAGTTCAGGATCCAGAAGCTCTGCTTGTACTTAGAATCGCACTGGTAGTACTTACAGACAACGGGATTAGTGAGATCCAGAAGTTGGAGTGCCATCCTGAACCCAGAAATTGAAGTAAAATATAAACGGCACCTTTGTCTTTGTGAATGCTGTATTAATAAGAAAATATAATACTGATACGGGACCAAGAAACATGTGAACAAAATTAAATTATGGCCAAGTAAGAAAATTTAGTCCTACCGGTGACATTGAGGAGCAGAAAGATCATCACAAATATCCAATGATACCATCTGCAGTAGAACAGATTGAAGGTATAGTTGTTAAACTGCCACTCAAGTCCTGAAGAACAACAGTCACATGAGACCAACTTATATTACTTTATGCCAACTACTCTCTTAAAATCTTTCTCGAGAGCTTTGATCATGTAGCCATAAAAGTTGAATTTTGGGTGGCCCCTCATGTGTTCGCTCTTCTTTCTGCATAATACAGAAAGAAGAGCAAACGATAATATATGGCATTGTAGCATCATGATTTACCAAGACGAAATCAAGCCTCATGGCATCGTAGTCATCCTCCGTTAGTGATCCGTAAAACTGCTTGAAGAATGAACGCTGAAAGCTAAAAGAAAAGTATATCACCTCTTGAAGTCCAAGCATTATTCAACACTAGTAATGTGCACAAAGCAGTAGGAGTAACATAGATGGGATGATCAGTGATAGTGCGGACCATCCATATTATGACCATGGCGACTTTCTGGTGTCCCTTGCACCAGTCCTGTATGAACTTGATTGATCATCTTAGGAGCTGCGGTTGATTGATGCATGGCATCAGTTAGTAATCTTATTGAGTTGCTGAAGTAAAAAAAGAAAAGAAAAGGAAAAAAGGAATTCTGAATTTCTGATACACAGGTTGGAATCGCTGTCCTACCACTGTCGTCCTCTTCTTGGATGGCGTTCTCCCAGTGCATCCATTTGCGCATCTGGACATATAAATCTTAGAGGAGCTGCAGGTTAACCTTGGAAAGATTCAGAAGGTTATGGTCTTATGGAATAGGCTAGTAATAACCTGAAGAAGCCCCAGGAGCACGGTGATGGCGCTGAGAACAACATGAGTGATGGCCAGCACAAAAATGAAGACGATGGATCTGTTCCAAGGCCGGAAGCGAGAGCAGTGGGACTTGTCCCTGAAAGGCCGAGGCATGTCAAGAGGAGGGCGGGTATGGGCCCAGAACTTTTTTTCTTGGGCCTAAAATTGGAAGAGAACAAAGGCCTCCGGCCCATTTGGTACGGAGGAAGCTGATGATGATGCTCATGATAGTCTCGAGCTCGTATCCATTACTACCTTGTTTGAACAGTGCTCCGAGGCTGGTCTTCCTTGGAGCATCCTCCTCCTCGCGCTGCCGGCGCCGTCACGGCCAAAGATGGAAAAGATACTGCGGTGATGGTGTGCCGCCGCCGACGAGGCGCCCCGGCACGGCAACCAGCGTTCCATGAGGCTCTCGTTGATGCAGATGTCCTGGATCACGTCCTGGAAGACGACGAGCAGCAGCGAGCCGAACCCGAGCAGCATCAGCTCTGCAGGTAGGGTACGGTGGATATGGCCCATGAGAGACAACGTACGCACACAGGACCAGCTGCAGTCGGTACGAACACGACAACGACGGCTAGCTAATAACCTTCTTTGAGCTTCAGCAACGCCTCGTACAAGGTCTGCCTCCGGTGCTCCAGTGCCTGCATGCGCGATCGGCCGGACTTGTCACTTGTCAGCTTCACCGCCAAGCAGCAGATCGAGAAGCTCTACACAGGATCGGAAGCTGGCGAAGGAAGGTTGATTTCGGAATGGGTAGTAGATTTCTCACCTTGCCGAGGCGATGGAGCGCGCGTTCGAAGACGAAGGACATGAGGACGATGCCGGAGCACACGGACGCCACGATCCATGTCGGAGTGCCCTCGAGCGACGTCTCCTCCGGCTCCGGCATCGCCAGCGGTCGATCTCCGGCAGCTCCTCCCACGGCCCAGGATCTGAGTCGGAGCAGCCCCTCGTGATCGCCTAGCATACTTCCAGTTCCAGACAAGTGATCGACTCGCTATGCTGCAGACAGGCTGAAGTGGCCCTCAACAAGTATCATTCTCAGGCTAAGCATCAGGTTTTAAATTACTCCGATATAGCAACATCGCGCTTCAAGCGCTGTTCTCTATTTTTTTTCCAAGCATTATTCTCCCTTTTTCCCTTTTCGGTGGATCAATGCGCATACCGTGCGGTACTTGAGCCAACAACTGAGATTTAAAGGTAGATATGTGTATGGATTGTTCTTATATATACTTCAAAGTCGAAATGGCATGCATGAAGCACGTTTGGTTATTCTATTGCGTTGCAGGTCACTTACTCACTTGCAATTACTTAATATGCAAGGAAGTGCACAGGTTAATTAGCTAGCAAGGGTATCATTTGTTTGGATCTACGCCGGAATGTGGAAGCTGGATTGTAGATGACTAAATTAAACTATCAATGTATACATGTTACAATCACTACCGGAAACGTCAAATTTGCCGAGCGTATTCTATCGGACACTCGGCAAATAAGTTCTTTGTCGAGTGCTGCGATAAAAACACTCGGCAAAAAAAACACTTGATAAAGAGGAGGTTTGCCGAGTGTCAAAAAAAAACACTCGACAAAGATGGGGTTTGCCGAGTGTTTTTTTTACACTCGGCAAAGGAAAAAAATATTTTTTCTGGGAAAGAAGGAGAAGAAAAAAAATGAAAAAAAAAATCTTTGCCGAGTGCCCAGATCTAGGACACTCGGCAAAGGAAAAAATAATTTTTCTAGGAAAGAAGGAGAAGAAGAAAAATAGAAAAAAAAATTTGCCGAGTACCCAGATCTGGGACATTCGGCAAACGAAAAACATCTTTTTTTAACCCCCAGCGGACGCGCCCTAGGTTTCCCCGCACGGCCCCCTCCCCTTCTCCCCGCGCCGCGTCCGCACGCCCCCTCCCCTTCTCCGCGCACGGGCACGCGCCGCCCCCTCCTCCCTCTCGGCGCTGGCGCAGCCCCGCCCTCCCCTCCTCCCTCTTCGGCGCCGACGCGGCCTGCCCTCCCCTCCTCCCTCGCCGGCGCGGCCCGCGCTCCCCCCTTCCTCTCTCGGCATGGCGGTGCTCCCCTGCCTCTCCCCGCGTGGCGGCGCACCTCCCTCCCTCCTCCACCGCCTCCACCAGATCCGGCCCCAGCGCGGGCGGATCCGGCGACGGTGGCGCACGGAGAGGCCGGATCCGGCCCCGGCCCGGGCGGACGGATCTGGCGCGCGGCCCTCCTCTCCCGACGCGGCGGCGCTCCCCCTGCCTCTCCCTGCACGGCGGTGCACCTCCCTCCCTCCACCGCCTCCACCAAATCTGGCCCCGGCGCGGGCGGGTCCGGCGACGGTGGCGCACGGGGAGGTCGGATCCTGCCCTAGCGCGGGCGGACGGATCTGGCGCGCGGGCCTCCTCTCCCGGCGCGGCGACGCCCTACCCTCTCCCAGCGCGGCGGTGCCCTCCCCCTCCCTTTACTGGCGGTGGCGCCCTCCCCCTTCCTCTCTCGGCATGGCGGCGCTCCCCCTGCCTCTCCCTTTCCCGGCGGCGCTCCTCCACCGCCTCCACCACATCCGGCCCCGGCGTGGTGGTGGCCTGGGCGTGGTGGCGCGGCGTGGTGGTGGTGCGGCGTGGTGGCGGTGCGGCGTGGTGGCGGCGCGGAGAGGAGAAGATGGCGGGTTGTTTTTTTTTATTTTTTCTGAAAAATTATTTGCCGAGTGTTTTTTGGGCACTCGACAACGTCTTTGCCGAGTGCGCGACAAAAAATACTCGGTAAACTAGCGTTTGCCGTCAAAACGTTTACCGAATGTCGTTTGCCGAGTGTACACTCGGCAAACCCTTTGCCGAGTGTTTTTGGGGCTTCGTCGAGTGCCCCTGCACTCGGCAAAGATCCTGTATCCGGTAGTGAATGTTTCAATCAAAGTGTATAAATTTATCTAAAAAAAAGTAGCAACTTATGTAATTTATTGCTCCATCCGTCCCAAATTACAAGTTATTCCAAGAATCTTGGAGAGTCAAAGCATCTTAAGTTTGACTAAATTTATATAAACGATAGCAACTAAGTATACGTATTTGATGTCATAAATCTTTGTATTTCTCTCTATAATTTTTGGTTAAACTTGTAATTTAGAACCGAGGGAGTATCATAGAATATTAATGTGTAACTCAAAATGGTTGATCATGCCACTGCTATTTCTCTAATGTGAGTTGAAACTTTACGCTAAAATTATATCAGCTATTATTGTAGGTTGTATGTAGCTCCTCACAAAAAGTTAAAGAAAAAGTTATTGTTATATAGCTCACCCGATGTGAGTTGTGACGTCATGAATATAGATTTTGGGTTTCAGATTTTGATCATATATTAGTTACAGCAATTTTTGTTGGCCCACAGCTTAAGATCAAATTTGAACGCTTGCAGTACCTTTTATTAATTTATTAAACCCTTGTTTCACACTTTGGCCCCGTTCGCTGGTCTGAAACTTGGCTGAAAAACACTGTTCCGGTGGGTTTGTTGTGAGAGAAAAATACTGTTCGGGTTTGATGAACAGTAACGTGAGAGGGAATGCAGTCGGCTGGCTGGTCTGGTTCGTACCAGCGAACGCAGCCTTTATTATTGAAAAAAACAGGAGTAGATTCTAGGACCTAGACTACAATCTTTAATTCAAAACGGCATAATCAACCATTTCCACAAAAAAAAAAAAAGAACAACGCTGATGAACAGAGCTCAGCCTCTCAAATCAGGAACTAGCTAAGCTACCCTCAGTCCTGGAGCAAAAACACAACCACATATGCAACCTCGACTCTTTCAGTCAGCTGGTACTAGTAACCATTGCTCGCTGTCCAGTCAAATGAAGACGGACTGCGACAGCATACGCGTGCTGCAGTGCAGAGATTGCGTGGCTTGACGCCCTTCAATTCCTTCCTCCGTCAGAAGCCAGAACTCAGAAGGAGATGCTCCGAAGCTGCTGGGTTGGGCGGCTCCTCCCGGCCATCAATGATCTCCAGCCGGCGGCGCCTTCCCAGCCCCGTCCCGCCGCCGGCGTACCAAGGCAACTGGCGTCGACATCCGTGGCAGATCTTCGCACGCGCCTCCGAGCGCCATCGGCCCAGCCTCTGAGATGCTCGGCGACGTCGTCCGCGAACACAGCGCTCTTGAACGAACTCCCCATCTGACAACACATTTATTTCACACAGGTACGTGTTTATTGTTAGAATTAGAATGCGAAACACACACGCAAAAAAAAAAAAGTATAGTCATGTATAAGCATGCATCCTACTACTGACATGGGACACAATGGCGTAGAGCGGGAGCGTGCTGTAGCTGCAGAGCACCTGGACGACGACGCTGAAGAGCAAAGAATAAACCAACCATGCAACCACAAGAAAACGTCATCAGGTCGATGAACATTGACATCTATCTAACAAGACGGCCTGAAGAGGAGAGATCAACAGTGATGTTCTTAGTACCATATGATGATTCGCGATACGCTGTATCCTAGACTGTCCATGATGCAGGAGTTGACGCCGAACATCACCTGAATCAGGAATGATGCGGCAAATCGTCGTCACTGGCCAAATGGATCGACGGCGTAGCGTAGCCACATTATATTTGAAACAGAGATTGCATGCATGCCAATGCCATATGTTTACCAACCAGTGTCCAGAAGAAATACGCGAACTCGAAGGCGTTCTGGAAGAGGATGAAGTGGATGAGGACAAGCACCAGCCGTGGGCTGTGGAACCAGAACAGCTCGTCTGAAGGGCTCACGACGATGCCCCCTTCCCCTTGCCCAGCGGCGTGCTTCGAGGCCACCTCGTAGGCCAGCTTGTTTATGATGTGCTCCAGCTTTGTTCCAATCAGAAGCAGCAGCTGTGACAAATGATAAAGGGCATCATATAGTAGTGGTAATTAGCACAAATAAAGAGGCAAATAAATACTCTTCTAGTATGAGAGTATCAGTAAGGATTAATAGTTCTTACAGCCAGTGGAACTAATGAGATCCAGAAGTAGGAATGCCACCCTGAATCAACAAATTGTAGATTAGTATCATTGTAAGTGCTACTAAAAATACAGGCACCACTGGACCAAAAAAGTGAGAACATATAGATGACTGACGTCATCAGGGAAAAAAAAGCATACCGGTGACATTGAGTAGCAAAAAGATCATCACAAAAATCCAGTAATACCATCTACATACATTAGAACAAAGGCAAGTCACTAATGTGCCAGTCGTAGAATAAGTTCTGAGGCTCCTACAGAAAGCATAAATTCCGAAGAACAACAACCTGCACCCACCAAATACACAGACTTACTTTATACTAACTACTCTCTTGAAATCTTTCTCGAGAGCTTTGATCATGTAGTCATAAAAATTGAACTTGGGGTGCCCCCTAAAGTGCTCCTGCATGGCACCCATGAGAGAGAGAGAGAGATCAGAAAGAGCACATCTGCACATGGATGAGAGGTCTGAAAGAGAAAAACGACAGCATGAATAATGCCAAGTACTAGTAAAGTAGTAGTATGTACCATGACGAAACCAAGCCTCATCGCAATGTAGTCGTCGTTGGATACTGATCCGTAGAACTGCTTGAAGAAGGAACGCTGGAAGGAAGAAGAGCTCTCTTACTGAAGTTCAGACATTCATCAAAAAATGAAGCAGAGATTTGTTCTAGTAGCAGACCAGCCATATTATGACCCAGATGGCCTTCTCGTACCCCTTACACCGGTCCTGGACGAACCTGATTTTCTGCACACGGGCGATCATCTTGGGAGCTGCAGTTAGTTAGTGATGTGCATCAGTTATTCAGTTAGCCTCATTGGACTCTCAAAAGGCCACAAAAAAAGAGGAAATTGGTCGCCCTACCAGAGCTGCCCTCTTCCTGAATGGTGTTCTCCCAGTGCATCCATATCCGC